GCTCCCAGTAGGAACCTCAGCCTCATCATTCTTTGCAATTCAGCTTCCCAGCTTCATCCTTTTAGTCATTAAATGCTTCTGTTTAATCTAAGAAATGGCTCTTCAATCTCATTCCAACTCCCCATTCCTGCTACCTTAGTTCTTTTTCTCCTCATTTCTTGTTTAAGCTAGTACAAAAGCTTTCTGATTGATTCCAAAGTCTAAATCTTGAAAATTTTAGTGGGGTCCTCTGGGACACAAATATAATGATAGAAAACAAGTCAGTCAATCAGAAGAGAGGTAGTGCTTTGAGATCTATCTTCTGTTTAGTTGAAACCATACATGTAGGTAGGATTCCAGCTACAGTAGAAGGAAAACAATATGAGCAAAAGGCTATGGGACCATGGGGGAGGGAGGAGCTAATTCCACTTGAGGAGTTGTAGAATGTGTCACAGAGAAGATGACATCTCATCTAGATATTTGAAGAATAAGTAGAATTTGCTATAGGAAAAGTGGTGTCAAATAAAAGAAATGTAGTGCAAATGTACAGAGAAATTTAAGGGCATGGAGTGTTTATAAGGCAGGTTCTGCTAAATTCTATGTGCACATAGAAGAGACACAGTTCTTACTGTCATACAGGTCATAGATTACTAGGGTGACCTAGTATTAAACAAACCATTACATGAAAGTTATGGTGTTTAAATAATTAAGCTAGTAATATGAAGAAAATAGAGGATGCGACATAATCTATTTTAGTTTTGGATGTTTGAAATGGTATTTTTGAGAAAAGTTTGGAGTGGTAAAAACAAAAGCTATATAAAAGACAGAACAGAATCTGGGCATGGTTTCACACACATAAATCTCAGCTACTGGGTAGCCTGAGGCAGGAGGGTCTCAAATTTGAAACCAACCTGGGCAATTTAGGTACACTGTGTTAAAAAAAAAAAAAACTCTCAGTGTTAGAGAGTTCCTGGGTTCAATCCCCAGCACCCAAAAGAGAGGAAGAGAGAAAGAGAATTGAAGGTGATGTGGGAGACAAAGGTTAGGTGAACATTGTAAAACTGTACAAAGGAGTTTGGACTGGAGTAATTCGCTTCGGTTGACACAATGAGATCTAATATAAGCCAAAGTATTTTTTTTTCAGAATATCAAGCTTCACAATATTTAATCTTTTTCTACTAAGACAACTCATGCTACTATCCTTCATAAACTCGGCCCACTTCTGTGGCATTTATTCCATGTGGCCACCACCACGCACCTGGCCATCTCTAGAGGAATCAGAGATCCTGCCTTGATGCTTCCTTCTTTCTAGATAAATTGACTTAATTAAGATCTATTTACTCATTTAAATTTTAACTAGCTTTTACTTTGGATTCTAGAATTGGACAACATTCTATCAGATAGAAGGGGTATTTGGATGAACTGAGCAGAGGTGCTTGTCTTTATATGCAGAAATGTGCTGAAAAAAGAAGCAGGAACAAGAGTGGTTGGGTCCTTTAAAAATTATTTTTCTGAGAAGGTTAGGAGAGAGATTTTCTTATCATACCTGCTCAGGCATATGGAGCCCCTTCTGATTGGCTCCTGTGTTCTGATTGGTTGTTGCCCTCAGACTCTGAAATCATGAGGTCAGAGATCATGTCTCATTTGCTCCCCAACATTTTCCAGTGTGAACAGTAATCTGGGCATGTGGAGGGCAATCAAAGTACTGATATATCAAAGACTGAATTAAAGGATTAACAATTAAAATTGAAAGTCCCTCCAGGTCTAGCACGCAGAGTTGTTACTAGAGCTTGAGCAGTTGTGTAGACAGATGGGGTTTGAAGCCAGATAACAATGGGCCAACTGTAAAAGAGGGGGTGAGGGCTGGGGATGTGGCTCAAGAGGTAGCAACCTCGCCTGGCATGCGCGGGGCACTGGGTTTGATCTTCAGCACCACATAAAAAAATAAAAAATAAAAAAGTAAAGATGTTTTGTCCACCGAAAACTAAAAAATAAATATTAAAAAAAATTCTCTCTCTCTTAAAAAAAAAGACGGGGTGAATTACCCACCTTAGTTAGGAGGTTGGTTTACATATGGCGGCTTTCTATAAAGAATTAGGATAGGGCTGAGGATGTGGTTCAAGCGGTAGCGGGCTCCCCTGGCATGCGTGCCACCCGGGTTCGATCCTCAGCACCACATGCAAACAAAGATTGTGTCCGCTGAAAACTAAAGAATAATTATAAAAAATTCTCTCTCTCTCTCTTTAAAAAAAAAAAGAATTAGGATAGCTTAATGGGCCTCTTTTGAATTGGAGTTCAATTTCCATTGAATGTAGGACTCTGGAGATAAAAGCATCTAAGCCTATATCTTCTCTATAAAATAAGAATAAAGCCACCTCCCTCATTGGTGCTTGAGGGTTTAAAGAGATGATGAAAGATACTTAGATGGTGTTACAAGTGTGTGCAGAGTTAATATTATCATGAAGCTGATTCCAGCTAACACATTATTTCAACACTCCTTCCTCTTACCCCAAACTACAGTTCTTTTTTCAGTCCCCAATGATAACTGAAACTACCATGAGTAAGTCAAAAAATTGGTTCACAGGAAACTAGGGATGATGCCCTAGAGATAATATCCAAATAAGAACAGTTTTTTTTAAATTAACTACTGTTATAATGAGAAAATAGAAAGACACCATCCCCGCATCATTATTCTTTCCAGAGGGAGGTAGTAGAGGGACCCCAGACAGTACTTAAGTCTATGCTTGTGACAATAGCTACAGTCCCAAGTTTTGGCCCCACGAAGCCTCTGGCAGTGAGTGGTAAGGTCAGAACTTGACCACTAGGTCCACCCTCATGTCCAATCAAATAATTCATGAAAACTACTTTAAGTAGGAGTGTGATGATAAACTGAACCCACTTTCTCATGCAAAGCCTGGGGACCCTTGTGTAACACACCTTTATTATACTTAAGAGTGTGAAGTCCTCCTCTCTCCTGCCCAGTGCCAAGGCTTTCTAGGAGGAGCCAGAAAAGGCCAAGCTTTGCCCAGAGGCCCTGGCAGGAGGCAAAGATGGCTCTGAGCAGAGTACGCAGCTGTAAACTCAGGTCACTTAAAGCAGAGACGGTGGCACTCAAGGACACTTGAAGTATCACTTCCTGTAACTGCTTATGTAAGACAAGAAAAGAGTGGCCATTGGTTTTCTCTCAGCTTCAATTTTCCCACTTTAAAAACATTTCATTTTCCAAAACTCATAAAGGAAGAAGAGGGCAGAGGAGATGGTTGTATTCTGAATCGTGCTCAAGGTGAGAAGCACTGAACTTCTTCAACACTATTCTTATTTTAAGAATCCTGGCAGCAGGCTTTCAGCTGCTGGAAGAAAGAGGAAGGATCCCAGTTTCTCCTGATGTGCCATTTAGAAAATGGATCCTAGTCTGGTACTGAGATATCTGTAATCATCCCCATTAGGAAATTTTATTCAAGTAAAATAAAAACTAAAGTATTCAGCTATTAACAGCTTTTTCAGTGGATTGGTAAGTTTAAGAATTTGATCATAAACTTTATAATTGAAGCTGAAAGTCAGAGATGTTACATATCATTTCCAAAATATCTATGTGAAGTAAAAAGACTACTTTCATTTCAGGAACCCAATATAAGCATCACATATTTGTGTAGGGAGACACTTAAAATCTAAAATATGTAAATAACCAATTTCTGAAGAGGAGATGCCAAGCTTAATTTTAAATTTCAAAAAAAACAACTGACACATTAATTTTATTTACACCAACATCATTATTTATTTATAACAATACTTTACTCAAAAGATTTTTGTACAAAGCCATACAAATAATAAATACATTTATACAGAGATATAATAAATCTACTAGATTGCTCCTATCTTTTCCAGCCCCTTCAATAATCAAAATTGATTATTGAAAACTACCTAGGAAGGCAACCAGCAGGTTGGAGATGCGTGTTTTAGGAAGAACTTCAAACAAAAGTATTGACTATTCCTTTAGATCAAGCAGTAGCAGAAGTAATAGAAAACAGGTTTTTTTTTTTTTCTCTCTCTCTCTCTCTGCTTGTTCTTCAGAGAAAGTGCAGTGTCAATCAAAAAAGCATGACTTGGGCTGGACTATAACTCAGCGGCAGAGCAGTTGCCTAGCGCTGGTGAGGCACTGGGTTCAATCCTCAGCACCACATAAAAATAAATAGGCATTGTAAATCAAA